TAGGCAGACACAGGGACTCACGCATGCCATGCCAGCCCCGCCCCGGGTGCACGCTGAGACAGTGACTGAGACTGGGCAAGGCAGTGTGCCTGTAATCCCAGTGTTTGGGAGGCTATAAACAGGAGGATCACTATGAATCCAATCTGTATAGTGAGGCCCTGTAGACTCTGTATTAAATACATTTAAAAAAAAAAGAAAAGAAAGAAAAAAAAAGAGAAAGAAAGGAAGAAAGAAAGAAAGAAAGAAAGAAAGAAAGAAAGAAAGAAAGAAAGAAAGAAAGAGAAAAGACGGCCGTGGTGACAGAGTCTGGCTATGTAGCTTAGCCTGGTTTCAAACTCATGCCACCAGGTCAGACCACTGCCTGGTTTTGTAACTGCTTGTGGGCTAAGAATAATCTTCTGTTTTCAAATGACTGAAGGAAACACAGCTGCACTCCCTCACTGTGTGTCGCTTGAGGCCACTTCTGGGCCACAAGGACCTAGAGCCCAAGAAGCCCATCCATATGTTGATGGGCTTCATAACAAGTGGCCCAGCCTCTGACCTCAACTAATTCTTCCACAATGAATGCAAATTATTTGTGTCACTGCCGTGTGCGTGTGTGTTGTTTCGCCATGTGTTCTAGGCTGGCCTTGAACTCACTAGGTACTCCAGGCCAGCCTTGAACTTTCTTCAATCCTCCTGCCTCAGCCTCCTGAGTGCTGGGATTATGGACATGCACTACCGCACCTACCTAATTTGGTATTTATTAAAAGCAAAGCATGCAGGCATGGCAGCTTATACAGAAGCTGAGGCAGGAGGATCGCCATGAGTTCCAGCCAGCAAGGCCAGCCTAAACTACATAGTGACACCCTGTTTCACAAAACCAAATAGTAGTAGCAGTAGCAGCAGCAGTGAGGGCCAGGGTATAGCTCAGTGGCGCAAGCACCTGCAGGGCAAGTGGAAGGTCCTCAGTTCAATTCCGAGTACCCCCCACCAAAAAAGCAGCGATAATAATAAAAATGACAGGAAAACTCAGGTTGCTGCTCTGCTAGTCTGTCTAATTCTAAGCCTCCAGCCCTTCTTGTTTCCTGAATTTGCTTCCTGAACCCAAAAGACAGTGCTCGGTCTGCCCAGGGCCGGAGGTAACAAGACAGAGGTCACATCCTCATCTGACAGCTCGGGCTCTGGTGCCCAGCGAGGGGCCTGTGACCTCCCACGGCCCAGCCGGCTGCCCCCGTCATTCCCACCTGCCCACGACTCACGCGCCCTGGTTCCTGGCGTTGGCATTCGCCATCCGTACCTCGGGGCCCACCAGCTTCACGGACTGGTACTCACCACCGTGCTCGGCCAGGAACTGCTCCACCTGCGCCTTGTGGTGCTGCTCCTAGGGAGGTGGACAGCAGGGTGAGGAACAGGGCCCGGCGCAGGACGGCTCCATCGGGCCCTGCTGGGTGGCTTCCTCCTCTACCACATCCCTGGACATCTACAGTCGTGCCTCCAGACTTCCTGAGTCCCATCAGTGGCACCAGGTGACCCTTGCCTTTGATTTGATGACCAACATCCCCTGCCTGAGACCCCCATGTGAGGGTGTGGGGAGACCAGGGTCTCGAGACCCAAACTCAAGGTTCAGACTGATCTCAGCTCCTTAGATGAGCTTGTGACCCTGGACTGGCCCTTTCACATGTCTCCACTTCTGCTCTATCTCTTGTAAAATGGGAGGACAGCCACACCTCCCTCCCAGTGCACAGTAAGCAGACACTGGTTCAGCCCCATTCCTCTGAGGCCACCTGTGACATTGCTCTTTCCACACAAAGTCCCCAATCACGGGCGTGTGGCTTGCTGTCCGCAGGGCAGGGTCTACCTCCAAGTAGCACAATGCACGCGTGGAATGATTGTTGGGGACCCAGGCAGCAAGCCGAGGGGCCCCTGGGATGAGCTGCTCACTGTCTCAGAAAAAGGAGCTGGGTGTGGTGGCGCATGCCTGTCATCCCAGCACTCTAGGAGGCTGAGGCAGAAGGATTGCAGGTGAGAGCCCAGCCTGGGCAACTGAGTGACTTAGAGAGACCCTGTTTCAAAATTAAAAATGAGAAAAAAGCTGGGCATGTAGCTCAGTGAAAAGGTCCTGGGTTCAATCCTCAGAACTAAAAGGAAAAAAAAAAAAAGGTTCCGGGAGGGAGCTACAGACGGGACAGCTAAGATTTTCGGGAAGACAGCTTTGCACACAGCAGGCTCTGAAGAGGATCCCGGCTTCAAAGCTGGACAGACTGGTGGAGAGAGGCCAAGAGGGAGGACTATGTGACTAGAAGGGGAGACAGGGAAGAGGAGCTGGAGTGTTGATCGAGGCCGCTGTCCACAAAGCAGCCACCTTGGCACCTTCCCTGACTCCTCCAAAAGTACTGAAGGAAACCAAATCTTGTGGACACCAGGAGCTCCTCCACGCATGCTGCGGGTCAACCTGGTCAACCCTTGCAGCGATTCCACGTGGTTGCCACTATTATTTGCTACCCATTTTATTTATTTATTTATTTATTCATTCATTCATTCATTCATTCATTCATTCATTCATGATCAGAGAATGCAAACCAGGGCCTCCCCATGCTAGCACGTGTCCACGACAAAGCTGCATCTTCAACCCGTTTCATTTCTGGACTCCATTTTTCTCCGAGTTGTCCAAATTAACTTCAAACTCACAGTTCCCCTGCCTCAGACTCCCGCAGTCCACTCACCATTGTCCCTATTTCATAGAGGTGGAAATGGAAGCACAGAGAGGTAGGGGAGCGTGTCCAAGGTCACACGGCCAATCAAAGCAGCGTCATTTGGATTTAAGCCCAGCCAGTCTGACTCCTGAGCCAATCTAGCCATCTGGGGACACGCCCCACCGCCCACATCCCCTGGGCCCAGACAAGCCTGGAGGCCTCAGGGCACCTCCAGAAGCTGGGCCTGCCGAGAGCCACCAGAAGACACGAAGAATGCCCGCCACTCACGTGGTTGTGAATGAAAAGCCGCATCTGACTCCGGGGATAGTGCAGGCGCAGAAGCCGCTGGAAGAACAGGGATAGGAATGGCGTGGGCTGCTCGATGAACACGCCAACCAGGACCGGGGGCAGAGCTTCGTCCTGTGTGAGGGAGGTGCCATTAGGGTCCAGCTGTGCACTGTCACCCAGCCTTAGTGTGCCCCAAGCAAACCTATGTGGCCACAGCCAGGCATGGTGATTCCAGCATTGGGAGGAGGCTGAAGCAGGAGGGTGGCAGGTTTGTACTACATAGTGAGACCCTGTCTCAAAAGAAACTAACAAACATGAAACTTGTGCACTCTGGTGGACCGGCCCCGCTCAGTGGCAGAAGCAGGGACCAGCCAGGTGCAGAGCCAGGCCTGGTGGACAGCATGCTGAAGACAGCCTCATGGGCTGAGGAGGAACAGGCGAGAGAACAGGAACACAGGCATCTGGAGGGAAGCCAGCACCTGTGTGGTCCCAGAAGGCAGCCAGGAGGTGGCAGGAGGTGGCAGGAAAATAGAAGCCCGGACAGGGAGGGGAGCAGGAGCAGGAGCCCACTCCAGACCCCCAGAGGGGGAGCATCCACCCCCACCCCTGCACAGGCCTGACTGGCAACCTCACCCCAAAGCCCTTGAGGCTGCGCAAACCCTCATCACACACGGTGCAGCCCGTCTCAAAGGTCCAGAAGCGCGGGATGTAGTTGCCCAGGTAGTTTAGCTGCAGCTGTCAGGGGAGACACGGGGCTGGAGTACAGCCAGGCCAGACTGCCTGTCCCAGTCCCACTTCCCTGGGCCTGGGGTGGGGTGCATGCAGCTCTCTCCCACCCTGCATGGTCATGGGGAGAGCAGCACGTGGTGCTGGGGAGGCCAGAGGGAGGACCCGGCAGTGCCGTGTTCCTTCTTCTTCGGGTCTCTGGGCACTTAGAAGATTCAGATGCCTGGGCCCCCACCCTGACACAGGACCCTGCGATGAGGTGTGTGGGTGGCTCTGGTAGTCCAGCCTAGGCACTGATGGGGACAGGAATCTCTTACACACTCTGCTCACGAGCAAGGAGGGATGAGGCCCTGAGCACACAGCAGGAGGGAAGAGAAGATGGGACTCGCCGGGAAGGGTGACAGTGAGGGCTGAGATGACCTCTGCCCTGTACCCAACCTCCCCACGGCGGGGCCCTCCTACCTTGGTGGGCCCATTGCCGTGGATCAGGACTGGAAGGGTGTCGTACGCCAGGTTCCGTGCTCGCACGTGGCCCATTTCAAACTTGAGCACAACCTCATCTGGGGGGCAGAAAGCATAGCCTGTCCACATCTGCCAAGGCAAAGCCTGGGGCTGGCAGGTGGGGGCAGGGCATGGCTTTGGGTTCTGTGTGTGTGTGTGTGTGTGTGTGTGTGTGTGTGTGTGTGTGTACACATGCATGCATGTGTTTGAAGTCACCCAGCAAGATCCACAGCCAGACCTCACCAGCCATAGACCTAAGGCCTGGGCCCAGGCTCTAAGGACCAAGTAGCTACTCTTCTTCCTGTCAGCTCCTTGCCAGCTCAGGCCCTTCCCCTGCCCCAGCCCAGGAAACCTCCCTTGGAGAAGCAGGGGGACCATCGGTAGAGAGGGGTGTCCATCTATAGGAAGGGGCCCATCTGTAGGGAGGGGGCCCATCTGTAAAGACAGCCTACAAGGCAAGGGTCCAGTACCTGCTCCATTTGGATTCTCCCACCCCAAGCTATCCCCTTTCCCTACTTCCCAAGAGAGACTCCATCGGCGACCTCCTGGCACAACCAGCAGAGAAAAGCCCTCCTGTGTCCCTTGGGCTCAGCCCTGCCTTTGACCCTCCCACCCCAGCTCCTATCCCGCCCCTCCTTGGGGATCCCACTCACCCAAGGATCCATCTAGGTTCTGGAAGATGCGGCAGCGGTGGTCCAAGGAAATATTGATCTGATCCTGTGGGGACAAGGACACTGGGCTGCAGTGTGTGGGGACAGGTCCTCACAGGCAGTGGGAGGGTGGCTTGTGTCCCCGCTCACTCAGCCTTGTCACGACAGGGCAGCGGGACACCAACTCCCCAGGATTCCCTGCTCTTGATGCTCTGCTCAGAGAGCCAGGAAACCTTAGATCTGGAGGGAATCTAGCAGCTGGTTCAACCACACCAACCACCACAGTGACAACCACAATGGCAACTTTCCAAACCCTCGATTAGCACTTTACTGCATGCCAGTCACCGCTGTGACTGCTCTGTTACGCTCCTGCGACCCTCATGGCACCCTTATAAGAAAGCAGCCCCACTACAGCTTTTATTCTAAGAACCCCATCGTTCTGGCTGAGACCTGATGAATCCAGCCAACCTCACACTCGCAGCCTCCAGGACTGGGAGCCGATCGTTCGTGGGCCATTTATGGTAGTCCGTGACAGCCGTCCTACAGACTGACACAAGCTAGGGGACTGTCCCCAGGGCAGCCTGGCCAGCAGGATCCAGAGGTAGGATCTCCCTGCCCCTGCTCTTGGCCCACTTCCCTCCTCTTACCCTCTTCTCTGGGTCCAAGAAGATCTTGGTATAAAAGAGCTGGTCGCTGTCGCTGTCCTGGCCCTCCCACTCGGCCACCAGTTTACTGAGGTTGGGGGCGTAGCCAATGAAGCCTGCGGGAGGTGGCAGGGACGACACTGAGACTCAGCTTGAGTCAGGGGTCCCCTCTACTCTCATTCACCTCCCACTCGTTCACCCACAAACCCTGCCTCCTTGAGGAAGTCCCCTTCCATTGAGGGGAGGCAGGATGCAAACAGTTCCCTCAATCAGTTTATACTCTAAACTGTACCTGCTTGGTCCAGAGACTGGAGCAGGGGGCCCTGGTGAGTGGAGGTGCTGGGGTCCAGGCTTGGAGCCTCTTTTATTTATTTTTTAAA